AAGACCTTAGGATATTTTTAAACATTAATATTAGCGCAATTAAAAAAAATAATGAGTGGCTAAAATATTCCTTTGAGGTTTTTTATAGTATATGAATACATGTATCAAATAAAGCTTCTTTTTGTACTAGAATGTTTGTATGGGAACCATTAAGATGGTATTGCAGCTGTTTGACTTCAGGGCTATCATTATGAGAACAACGAAATATATGAAAAGACCTTATTAGCTACATGTATTTAATATATATGATAGATTTACCTTCTGTAAAAATATCTGTGTCATGATATTATAGGATACTGTCTCTTTCTTGTTCAACAAAAGAAAAATAAAAGCATTAGCCAACCTCTCTGAGCACTGTTAGCTGTATGGTTTTGTATTGCAGTTCATTTATTGGTTGAGTGATAAGACCAAAGACTGACACTTCTATTATATCTAACACTATGACACTGCTGCTTCTACTAATTCTGTTGGAATGAAGAGATGACAAGTTGTAATTACAACATGAAATTGTAACATAGTTTAGATTTGTGCAGCATTTTGAGCTGTAGATTGTTCACTTTTTTCAATGGGTTTAAATTTTTTGTCAGTGTGGTGCAATTACATCACTGTTCATGCATACGAGGATCTTTTTCTGTTCCTAAGAAAACGAAACAGTGTGTTTTCCAAAATGTGCCAAGACATTGCTTGTTTCAACTGAAGTTATACTGTTTTGCTTGCAAAACAGTGGCTTGACCGGATAATGGAATTCACTTTAAATCATTTTAGATGCAGAGGGCTTTTAAGTCTGGGTTGAAGACACAGCCATAAATGTCTAGAAGGATTTAATGAAGGATGTTTAAGATATTCAGTTGCTAACACCATGTATTATTTTTTCTGGGTTCTTTTTCAGATTCTAAATCATTGTCTAAATAAAAAAATTAACCCCTCCCTCCCTCAAACCTTAGACTTTGGAATTGTTATCAGCTGATTCACTGTAATGCATATGTAAGTTGGATCGAAGTTTGAGTGTCATATTGTTTCAATCAGTACTCAGTAAAGGTCTGCCAAGCATTTTTGTTTTGTAACCTTCATGCTAATGATTTTCTTGTGTATATAAATATATAAAAAGATGGGAACTATTTTCTTACACATACTATGCAATATGTTTGTAAAACTGCAATATTACCAAAATTACAAAAGCTGTGCTTTTGTACTCTTGCTTTATGTAAAACAAATCTTTTTTCTATTTAATGGACTGTCTGTCTTATAATTGTAGATAACATTATTCAAAAGCAGTACACTGAAACTTTAAGATTTTTAAATTTATTTTCCTTGTATTTTTTGTTTTCTGAAAATAACAGCAAGGTTTTGGAAGTTGGAAATTGCTTTTTCTCCGAAAGCTAGAACTTCTACAGCATGTAATTAACACAGTCAGTTTGAAATCTCTCCTGTACTTCTTTCATTTGGGCTTAGCGTTTTCATCTGGTGCTACTATATAACCATAAATAAATGTGATACATAAAATAGGAAACGTATCAGAATTATTTCAAGAATAATCAAGTGGGAAACTTTCTGAGGGTAAG